CAGGAATAAAGGGAGGGACCCCAAACAGCAATTGCGAAACAGCTTTAGTTTGCAAATGAACTCTCATGTAAGAGGAGTAAATTTCTTAAAGGCGTGGAAAATGCTTTGTAATTTTTTTAATGAGGTTTTCATTTCAATCTTAAAAAATCCAGTCTGCATAATCAACATATGATTAACTAGTGGAAAAAAACTCCTAGCAGAGTTTCTCCCTGTCACCTTCTCTCTTTCAGTGACAGTTTTACTGACACATGCACAAATACTAAACTTAACGTACCAGAAGTCCGTTGGCTTTGGGACTCGCAGTTCGTGCTGTGCTACGGCACTCCTGGGCAGGAACCCTCTGAGCTAAAGGTGCTTCTTCACCATCCTTGTCTGTGCCAGCATTTGCCAGCTCCTTCCAAAGTAGTGAAATCCAGCGCAATTTTTATCTCCTTTCCTAATGCCAGACGCTGGCTTTGCTTGCTCTGTTTACCACAGAGGGTGCAGCTCTATGCACTGTTTTTGTATAGCTGACTTCCTTCTCTTTTCATGATTTTAGGTTTTTGATCCCATTCACAGTTTACTCCCTGTGAGCTTCAGTCTGGACCAGGGGATTTCCCTTTAGCTGGCAAATTCCATGGGATTTTGCCAAGAGCTGGCTCTTCCCATGGGCTCTCTTGGGATGGTTTTTCCCAGACCCTCAACCCAGGCTGGTTTCTTCCCAGCCCCATTGCCCAGCTGGTTCCTCAGCCCTAAATCAGCCACAGTCACAGGCTCTCTCCCTCTCTGACTTTTTTTTTTTTAATTAGCTATTAAAAACAGACTGCTCATCACATCAAACTGATGCAGGGTGCAGTATTCCTTACACTTCAGTGTCACCCTGTCATAGATGGTCTCATTTACATGAGGCTAAAGACACTAATTTAAAAAATATAAATCAGGTGCCACAGAATGAGCCACAATCAGAAATACAGCCATACAGAGACAGCATAAGGTGTGCTTCCAGATATTCCTCACTAACCAGAAAAATTCACCTGCAGGAAGCCTTTGAACACCTCCACTCAGAATATTTCCTGCATCCACTGTGCTCCTGATATAAGCTGGTGCAAGCTCCATATTACTGCCCCATCCCTTCTGGGAATATTCACCCCTCAGGTAAAGGCCCAGGGCTCCAGTAAGCTACGGCCACCCACAGTGCCAAGCCTCCGGTGGCCTGGTCAGAAAGCAGGAAATGTTCTCCAAAGACCAGAAGGCAAGTCTTACAAAAAAATGAAACTCATGCACCACCTCACAGCCCAGCTCCCTCACAATTACATAGCCTGTCTCCTCCTTGTCTGACACGAGCCCAGCATGGTCCTACGGCCATGACACAAAACACCCTCCTCACAGCTGGCAGGCTGGACCTCCATGCCTGCCAGTGCTGTCCCCCTGGGAGGGTGCAACACCTGAAAGCCAGGCACGGTGACAAGCCTTCAGTTGCCCCTGAGGATCTGGCTCTCAGGGCCTACCATCACCATGGGCTTCTCCACTGCATAATCCAAACCCTGTACCACCATCTCGTACACCCTCACCATCCCCTGGCACTCGCCTGGCACACTTGGCTAGATGCAAGCCACCTCCAGGTGCCAAGGAGTTCAGCTGGTGTCCTTAGGGGCCTCACACTCCTGTCCGCAGGCGTACAGACATTATTTTTGGATCTTAACCTCTGAAGAAAAACCTTGTCTGCTACTGCGGCCCAACCTGGGCACTTGCTTCTAAGATTTGTGACACCAGTGCTGTATGTGTCAACTTTATCTCATGAACATCACAATAGCAACCTTCGGGAGCAGTGCTGCTGAGTCCACCTGACACTGTGCTGCTGACAACGGCCTCTGGCGCGTTGCTCGGTGCCCAGCCTCTCCGCAAAACTTCCCGGCAAGCAGTGGCCCATCTTGACACAGATTCTTGTCACGAATCAGGGCTAAAGGGATGGACGCAAGACATGAGAAACCTCACAGCAGTCTTCAACATCAGCCTGACCTAGGAACAAAACGCCTGTTGTGACTTGCAAACACCCAACAGCCACCTCTGGCTTTCCAACCCCGTCACAGTGCTGAGGCATGGGAAGGGGCTCACTGAGCACAGCAAAACTCTCCCACGGGTCTTGACTGCTTTGCAAATAATTCATAAGGGACACTGTAAACTCAAAGTAAATGCAACATGTTTTATTTAAGGTTGGAATAAATTACAACTGTAAAGCATAATTTATTGCTGTATAAATTGTCTGCTCTTAAAAGGCATTAATATCAAACATAACCAAAAGAAAGACACATTTGATTAGCAGTTTGGTTCTCTTAAGCTTTATAAACAGCTGAGCAGGGTGATTTCATTCTATGTATAGTTGAAATCTCTGGTCATAGGCTCATAAACTTGACTTTGACATGCATTATGATCATTCAGACATAGTCAGGGAACAGTAGATGTGTTTAATTGCTTTCGGAAACAATTTTTATTGCAAATTCCCCATAAATATCCCATTAAAAAACTAGTCCTTCATTCCTCATTCAAATACAAATCCCACTGGTTTCAAAAAACTCCTTCAAAAGACGGTCAGGGTTTTCTCTCCCTGCAGAAGGAGGGGTGCTGATTCTGAAACAGGAATTAGTCTACTCTCAAAACTAAGTGAACAAAAAAACTTATCCTAGGTTAAAATTACTGAAATCCAATGAGTAAAAAGCGTTTTCTCACATCCTTGCAAAAAATAATTTCACATTAACTGATTGAAGTGATGTGGACTTTTCATACTTCTGTTGTAAGGTATCCTACACCCTGTGCCTGAAATTGGTATGAATTTTGCTGAGAATATTTACTTCTCCAGGATGTAGATGCTGACAAGTCCAGCCTGCCTCGAACTCTGGGGGATGAGAGGCTGTTCGAAGGAGGCCAGATGCACTGAGCACCTTGCAGTATCTGGCTCTGAACGCATAAATGCCTTGATGCAAACAGCTGCATCTAACTAGCTCCAGCCAGATGTGAGAGCTGAAGGAAGGCCAAAAAGTCACCCCCCGCAACCTCTGGGGCAGTCCCAGCTCCTGAAAGGGCAACAAGCCCTGATGGGTAACTCCCTTCACTCCACGAAAAAGGGTTTCACCAAGGCATTGGCCCCGCTCCGCCCCTCGCCGGCCACAGTGAGCGGCTCCCTGTGCCTTGGCTCCAGCGTGGGGGATCCCCGGCCTTTCCCTGTGGCAGTGTGCGCCTCCACTCTTGCTTTCGTGGCGCTGACTCAAGCAGCACAAAGGGAGCTGGCTCCTGCCCTCTGTTCCGCAAAGGTAAAACTCAAAAAGCAGAACGGGAGACTTCTGCCTCAATTAGCACTGGGAGCAACTCATAAAGTTTGCGAAGAAAATTTCCAGGGCAGCTTCTCATCAAGCTACAAAACTCACTTTCAAAAGAATGAGTCACTGGTACAGAAAATCCTTCTAAAACTGGCTCAGTATAACTCAGCAAGATCTCATTTGGAGAAGGGTTTCTTCTCCTGTCAGCGCTCTCGCGTTCTTCTCATGCCTAGCAGAATGCAAATAACAGAGTGAGATGCAGGGATATTTCATGCTGTACTACTGATTGGGAAGGAGTAAGGCTGTTATGATCCTGGATCCCAGAAATCTATATCAATCTTCAAGTAAAATACTGTTAGGTTGATTCCGGTGTGATTTTGGCTTTCATCAAAATTTCATCAGTAACATTTGTATCTTTTGTATGTTTTATGTAGAATTTCATTTAAAAAAACAACAAACCTTCCTCCTCTAAACACAGTTTCCTCAGAAAATGTTGTGCCATAAGGGGTGGCAGCTTCAATCTCTGCGAGGTGGCGATGCAGATTTCAGGTGCTGCATCTGCCAGCAACAGCTCCCAAAAAGTCAAGTGCCGTGGCAGAGCGTTTCAGTGGGAGTCTAGGAACGCGCAGGCCCACACTTTGAGCTATGTCAAATTGGGCCAATTGTTTGACACTCTTCAGCTGCCTCCTCATTAACGGTCTGGACACCCTAACCTTGGTTTAGCTCCCAGCCACGTGGGAAAGTGCCTAACGGAGAGAGAGGTGGGGAACAACCCCACCTGAGAGAGGAAGGGCAAGGCCCCTTCCTCCACCAGAGCTCCTTGGGAGGCCTTGGGAGAGCCTTGTGGAAAAGAGGTTTTGCAGCTGCCTTGTGCTAGCAGAATGATACACTGCAGCTGGGACAAGGGGCTGGGCCTGCCTGTCTTACCCTTTCACACAGGCATATGATGCATGCCTGCTTCATCGCCATATTAGAGAAACATAACTCAAAAATGCAAAAGCCTTTAAAAACATCAGTCATCTCATTTATGTGCACTGCGAACAGATTCTTGGCTGACATCTTTTCTGCTTAGCAGTTATGAATTTTTCTTTGAAGATGAGAAGGAGGAAAGCCAGCCTTCAGGGAGAGAGACAAGCAGAGGCACTTGCAAATTAAAATGCATGTACATGTCATCTACCACATTAGGGACCTCCAGTCTGTGCTTTACCTCACAACATCTTATTATGTTGAACCTTAATTTCTCATCCCTTTCAAAGGTTCCCAGGAGCTTTCCATTCCGTGTCAGTGAGATGTCCCGGGGGACTTCGCAGAGAAAACTAACGAGAGGAACAAACTCTTGTCGCCAGGACAAGTACAGGGTTACATTCAAGCCACAGACTCTGGAGGAGCAGGGCAGAGACCAGGCTTATTCCAAGTCCTGCTGCAAGTTCCCCAGGGGCATACGTAAAAGTAGCAAGTCAAGCACACAATGAGAGGGAAGATGGCCTAGTGGTTAGGGATCTGGCAGATCAAGTTAATTCCCCACTTATCACACTCTTCCATTGAAACTCTTGGCAAATCACTGTCTTTCCATCAAAGAGGCTTTTTTACTGAGCAAAGTGGTGGTATGGGACAGGAAGGACTGCAAATTGCTAAGATGCCAATAGCTACATGTTCAGATAAGACAGGCTGCATTGTCTAAACCAGTCCTGGAAAAGTGGGTGAAATTACCAGAAAGAGGGAAGAATTTGCATAATTTGGGAGTGCTCAAGCATTCCCAGTATAATGGCTGGCCTCCTCATGGCAGAAGTCAGGCAAGGACAGTGACAAAGACATCACCTTTGCCAAGATGATGAGGTGCCATTGCAAAGTCTTTTCTCTAGTGCTGTTGCTGAGCACCCTGCTCTGAGAAGAATAGGAATCCTGCTCTCATATGAAACGCTGCCTGCAGCATCTGAATACAACTCAGCAAAAGAGCCCAAAGTATTTCTGCTCCCTTGACAGTTCACTTATGCTTTGCCCCTGCTCAGCCTAAGCAGCAACCACCGGACAGAAATCCTCTAAGGAGTCACACTTCTACCAAAAAAAAAAAAAAAAAGAACAAATTTCAAGATTGCTACATCTTTTCCTTCATTTACCCGCAGCAGATTAAACACTTGCTAAGGCTTTGTCCTCCTGCTCTTCATTTCCAAACTGCCTGTTTCTGAACGGCTTTTAGCAATGGAGGGGGAAGAGTTAGCTGCATCTCTGCAGCTGCATAAATGCAGTCTTCCATCCCAGCTTATGCTGCTGCCAAGTAAAGTAATGGGCTGTGGTATTTCATCTAGAAAGACAGTGCTCTTGCAGTCAGAGACAGCAAGTTGGGAGCTCTTAAATCTATTCCCGTCTTTATTTCTGACTCACTGGGTCTGGCCTCCAGTGAGGCACTCAGGCCAGCACTGTCTTATGGGTTTTCAGTTTAAAGCATCTTGTGATTGACTGGGGACAAGGTTCCTACTGAACTGAAAAGCAGACAGCACAGTCAGTGAGCACATCTGAAAGCAAAGCCGTTTACCAGTGTGTTTTCTCATTTGCACATGGGGAGGGCAGTGTTCGCCCATTCTAACAAGATACGGCAGGCATTAATTAGTGGTTACAAAATGCTCTAACTTTCCACAGGCCTTTATAAGTGCTGAGCATTTTAACTGGCAGGACAGCCACGCCAATTGAATACATTGTTAGAAACCAACACTTCTCTCTCTTACAGCCCTCCTCAACACAAAGCATCGTATGGAACAAACAAGTGTTCATACTGTGATTTTACAGACGGAGGAACTGGGTCAGAGATGGATGCTGGCTGGATCAGGCCCACATAGCAAGTGAATGAGTTAGTCGAGCAAAAAGCTAAGTCTCCTGATGCCAGGCCCAGTGCTCCACCCATCCACCAGATGTTCCTAAATAGGGTACATAAATAATCCTCCAAACAAATTGATGTATCACGAAGGGCAAAGAGCCTCTGAAGCTATGCATAACGGCAGAAAGTACAGCAGATGTATATTACATATTTTGTTCTCTCCCCACTTCTTGGTTGTGAGGGCAGTTGGTTGCTCTGCCAGTTCTCTTCTGGTCAGCCTACTATGTTATTTCCTACAGAAATGCAGCTAAAGTTGCGCATGTGATTCAGTAGCAGAACTGGACTTTTGTTTTACATGGGCTGAAAGAATGTTTCTTATACCCAAATGAGATTTTTGCATGCATCTGCATACTCATCCAGACACTGCCTCTGCTGTGCTCCATGCCTGACTTTCATGCCAGGTTTGCTCTGCGTAGCAGGCATATCATATGCACACAGTGACCTGGTACAAGAGCACATTCTGCAGGCCAAGATATTGCAAGCAAATATTCACCTAGAAAACCTAACCGTGCTGGTAGTTTTTTGCAGTGAATTGGGCTTTCACTAGGAATTAACATAAGCTGCAATGACTAATCTTATATTCTGTGCACTTGCTTATTTTCTTTTCACAGTTCAAACCACTTTCTTCTTTAATACTAAAATACTAAAGTCTTACATAGCATTCAGAGCATTATTTGTTGCTGGCTGTTTCTCTATGCTCTAAGCCTCTATTGCAATGCATGCAAAGGATAATGTCTGAATTTGTAATGCTTTTAACTAAAAAAATACTTTTAAAAACATAAAACATAAATTATTTATTCCTCTTTGTCCATTGTTTTAAGCACCGAGTCTTCTCCCAAGATATTGCACAGTTCATTCAGTCTCTGTTGCATTTTAGGAATTCCTGCAAGCTGAGATTCTAGTCTCTGTTTTTCCTCACTCAGTGATAAACGGATAGCGGTGTCCAGCTGTTCAAAACGCCAGCCTCCTTGTCCATCAAACTGCAGCAAGTGAGTGTGGTACTTCCTGCGTTAGAAATTAAAACATTAGTAACGGCTTAGGGAGCAGATGGTCCGTGTTTTCACATAGAAATTCAGCGATGTGCTAGGTTCCTTGGGACAGGTTTTGAGCAAGATACCTGTTTTGAGTGCTTCCTCTCGGGAAATGGAGTGTTGCCCGGTTTTGAATCACTGGATCACTTCTGAAATCTTTTCAGTGACTCAGAAACACACAACACTTTTGTAGGGGATTTGGGTATTTCAAAGCCTGCCACTGGCACTTCCCACGGCCATTGCCATTGGTGAAATTTGGCAATGAGAAGCCAGCGATAAGGTATGAGCATTGGTGGGGCTCCTGAGCTGGGGCAAGCATCACCTCAAGCAGCCCGCACTGCCGGGAAGGGGGCCCTCGTGACCTGCTGCCGCTTTCCAGCTGCCTCTTAGAAATATTGGCTGCCACTGCAGTTGCCTCTATCGCAGCTCGGCCAGACTCCTCTTTCTCCAGGAGCCCTCAGAGGAGCAGCAGACGAGGCTCCTCTCACCTTCGGGAATGCCAGTCCCTGCTCTGACCATCCTGGGCACCTCTGCCTGGTGCACGAATCGAAGAAGCCAAGGGAGCTGCAGCCCCCAGTGCTGGAGGGAGAGAAGGGGTGACACCTACCCACTCATTTTCCTTCCAGTTGCAGGTATAAAGCGACAGTACAGATACGTATCACGCAATGCCTGACCCACCTTCCTCTTGATTTCAACTTGCTGCACATCCAAACAGTCCCTTCCCTTCCCAAGAATGAGAGGGAACGTGCGGCCCACTTAATCGCATTTATCTCACGTTCTAAGAGGTGTTGTACGCCCTAGCAGAAAAGATGTTTAGGCAGGCATGGTGCACCTGATGCTACTGATGAAACTCTAATTTGTTTGAATTGCACCTCAGTTTCCCTGCATTTTCTAAGGTCAGCTAAAGAAACTTCCAGTCCTAAAACACTGTGTGATTTGCAAGGGACCAAAATAAAAAAGTTTGCACAGGAGTCACAGATCTTTCAGTAAGTATCAGGGTGTGTGCACCAAAAATATTCAAAGGTGTACAGGTGGAGTTTGTCAAGACCCGACAAGACATTTATCAGGCGGTGTAAGAGGGAGAGCAGAGAGCTCTCCCAGAGCTGCTGTTACAACCATGCAATTTATCACTATAAATTATTGAAGATAAGATGCATCATAAAATAGTGATTATAAATCCCACCAAGGGAATGTGACTTTCTCCACCAAGGGAAGTTTAATAAACTTCCATAGTTTATGACATGAGACTCAAATGATACTTAACTGCAGGCTTCCATTCACCACTTCTTGTACGCTATTCTCTACAACACCAAATGTTTAACTGATCCCTCTATTTTTCCTCCACAAAAATCAAAAAATCAGGATGCTAAGACAGCTGATTGAGATGGCTGATTGTTGTGGTCCAAGGAGGCAGATAATATTTTGAATAAAAGAGCAGACATTTCCTGGTGCTGTCCTGAGAGCACAGCATGTGACCCCAGTCTGGGTTTATGCAGTGCACTGCCTATAGAAGCACTCCTGAATTAAAGGTATTCGATACTTATTTCTTAACACTGAACACTTCTTTTTTACTTTTGTAGAATAAAGCAATCACCTCCCATCTATCCACCTGTTTTTATCAGTTCCTGATCCCACAAATCACAGATTTCTAATAATTTTGATAATACAGCTGCAGTTACAAGGACAATCCCAAGCCTTCCTGAACCCCACTAGTACTAGAAAACTAGTAATCTCAGTAGGAAAGTAAACTCACATCTTCCCCATGAGCTTTATTCCAGAAATTCCCTCTGCATCATCACTGTTTGTAGTCGGGATGCTCTCAAATATCTGTTTTCTTGAAGAGTGGTTTTAAAATAATCCCATCCCATCTTTCAAAATTTAAATAATACCTTTCTTTTAAAGTGCAATATAAATTATTTTAAAAATAAATGTCTCTGTGACATTTTTTTCTGCCAGAATTCCTATTTTTTTTTCTTCAAATGGAGGTCCTGATCCAATGAAAGCTATTCTTTTTAAGGGAAGCAAATGGAGATGGATATTTCCTTTTTGGAGTAACAAACCAGTACTGAATTTTTGTCTTCAGCCTAGAAAAGCAATCTGAGAGCAGAGATCAAGGCCTTCAGAACAAATAGTTCAAATACTGCTAATGCCAGTTTGCACTTTTTGATCTCCTTTTGCCCTTCAGAAGTATTTGATTGCTTTATGTACTCAGTAAATATATTTATTTTCCTTTGATGGACTATTCCATGCTCAATATTACCTCACTTGAATGATCTTTCTCAGAAGTCTAGTATTTACTTTTTAATAGACAACCACATTTTGAAAGCCCACAACCCCTGCCGATACAGAACACACCCGAGGTTAAAACAATGGATATATGAATTCCTATGAAAGGACACGGAGTAGGTTATCCAGTTGCCATGTTGCCCGTCTTACCCCAAACACTGGCAAACCTCCCCAGGACGTAGCTCATGTTTCTTGTCATGTTACAGAACAATCTGGTGATATCTGCTGTAGCTGTGACACGGCAGACTAATTAATTGCTTCTTAGCTATCAGCATGTTGCTATTAATAGTTAATAACTGAAATGCATTATAAACAAATAAGAGGGAGGAATAAATATGTGCCCAAAAATGAAAAAAAAAATCAATGTTAAATACATTTACATCTCTATTACTGTAGTCAAGTTATCTTAGCTAGCACAGTAGATATTGATTAAACAACTGCCCTAGTACACAGACCACCGTCTAAAAGCCAGTCCACCGACAGACAGAAAGCTAAAAGCAAGTACCATTTCAAACTCCTGAATGTACTTACCAAAGAGAAGGTCTGTGTGTTATAGAAAGTAGGGATATCCCAGCAGCTTTTGCAGCTTGGAATATCTTTCCTTCAACATCAATGCTTACAGCACTCGTGCACTCATCCAGCAACGCATATTTCGGCCTTTCAAGAGCAGATAAAGTACATTACTCTATTAGGATTTTGACAGTGTTCCCATGTATGATGTTTAATTGAGAGAACAACAGAAAGGGTCTGACTGGAGGAGAGAGCTGTTTTTCCTAGACGGCTGTCTCTCATCTAAGCCTGGAAGCTGGCTAGCAACAACACAAAGTGCCCAGGCCTTATTCACGCTTCCAGGAAAAATGGGTCTTATTTCCTGCTCTGTCTGGGTGCACAGCTATCAAACTTCTAGGTCCTAGCTTGACTTATTATTATTCTGTCCTGTCAGAAAGTCATGCAGTAACTACAGCAATCCAGAAAGTTTCTACCCACTGCTATGTATAGACTGGGCTGCCTATGCAGTGTTTGCAGTCTTCAAAATTGAAAAGGGCTGGAGCTTGGCTTTCAAACTCCCATGACCTCCACCAGAGTGCACCAGACTTCTGCAGCACCTGTAGGACAGAGAGTCCTGGGGAAGATCTTTGTGCCTGAGATGCTAAAGAAAGCAACATCTGGAAAATGTTGCTGAAAGCAAAGCATAAGTTCTTAAGAAGCACTGCCCAAGCAAAAAAGCAGAGCTTGCATGAATAAATTGCAAAGCTGGTGTTCCTATGCAACGGTCTACAGTATGGCATGGAGATTAAAGTCTACTACTGCTCAAAGTGTTAGAGCAAACCTCAAAAATTCTTTGTGACTTTCAGATGCTGCTTTACGAACAAAGGAAAATGCTTACTTATGGTAAAACATCCGAGCCATGCCCATCCTTTGTTTTTCTCCTCCTGATAAGACATCTTTCCAATCCATGATGGCATCCCAGCCTGATAAAAAATACAAACAAAATGCGTCAGGACAATGTGAGTTTATGAAGGGAATACATGTTCACTTGCAGCATCTCTGCAATCCCCAGCCAAAATCAGAAAGAGCATTTCTGTTGCAGAAGAGACCGTTCAGGGTTCTGGATTACTTCTGCAGAAATCCCTCTGTACCTTTCCACTGTCACTCAATAGTAAAAACCTCCCAAATATCATGTCACTTTTGAAAGAGGAATTTAGCTTCCTCAGTCATGTAGGTATTGCCGAAAAGTATTGCTTACCATCTCTTTGAAAAAAAAATCTTTTACCTGCGTATAACTAATCATTTTTTTCTGCCATGTTTGTTTTATAGAACAATTTGCTATTCCTTCTTGAAAGGTGAACGGAAATTTAAAAACAAACAAAAAGAAAAAGGAATTAAGTGTAAGAAACATAAATAACAGCGTGAGATTACAATGTTTAGTGCCTGACTCCACTTGCTACTGTAGCTTTTGGCGAGCTCAACAGAAACAGATACACAAGCACATCTGCAGTTATGGATACACTCAGTGTGCACAAACAAGCAGCTAACACAAAAAACAGTGCATACAAACATGGACGGTTTTGCATACAAACTTCTGGCTACCTTGTATTTAAAAATGACCCACAACTGTTATAAAACTGTGTCTCCTTAACTAATATTCTGCATGGCCTGTAACGGAATTTTTTCCCTGGCATCACTTTTGGGAAACATGCGACAGGATTATCATGCATTTTATCTGTTTTCTTACAGTGGAATTGTGTTTCTGTGAGTATCATGGCATGATTTATTCCCACTAATGAAAAACTAACCTCAAATACCAGTTACCCTATTAAAAAACAAGTTTTCAATTAAGCAGTCCAGTTGGATAGAACAGTAAAATAACAGGCAAAGGTAAGGAGAGCGTGGATCCAGAGAAAATCCTGTAGGACATTTCTCTCAACAAATCACCCACCCATGGGAGACAGACAGACAGCTGGACGAGGGCTGAGCAAGGAAGAGAACATATTTCCAAATCAGCCTTGAAGCACTATAACTAAAAATTCAACAACATGAACAAAACCCCTTTTCTGCCACTGCCCAATCAAAAATAAACTTTTGCCAGAAAAGACAGTAAACAAGATCATAAACAGTGTCATTTCTAATGCCAGACCGGAGGCGAGAAAAGTGCAGGCAGGGGTCTGGGTTTGCGAGGGTGCCGGCGGCCGCCGGAGCGCTCTGCCCGGGCTTGGTGCGGCGCCAGCAGGGCTCAGCAGGGCTGATTCAGTCCTGGTAATTCTAGACAAAACCTCCGTGAATCATCTAGTGACAGGTCGCGTGATGGAAAACAGGAATTGGTTATGCTAGAAACTGAACTCCAAGAGTTTTCTCTCTGCAAAATCGAAAAATATAATGTAACATGAAGGAATTTTTATATTTGTGTATATAGTTAGATTTAAAAAAACAGGCTTGCACACACCAGAAACACATCACCCTTACTCATTCTGTCGTTTTCCTTACAGTTTCCTTCCGTTCTTGTTTAAGGAGCCTAGTAGGCACCCACAGGGGCATCGACAGTGCTTTCTATACGCTGTCTTCCTAGCAAAGATTAAGGTTGCTGCAAGGTGAACTGGATCACCATGAGGACAAACTGCGGTACAGGCATGTACCAGAGCAGAGGCTGTTGATGACAATCAGTGCCGAGTGCTGGGACCGCGCAGAGAGCTGGCGTGCTGTTGCCCTGACACCTTCAGCGCCCACGAAAGGCTACAACACGCTGGGAGCACTCCTTCAGGACAAACTGTGCTAGGGCCAAGGAAAAGGATCGGTCCTTCACAAAAGCCATGGAAACAACTTCGCTCAAGATGATATTTAGGTTCATATTCTGTGTTGTGATGGGAGACTGGGATCTGAGCGAGTGGTGGGTTGCATGTGTGCACGTGTGCCTGTGGAAGCAGTGCCTCTGTGCATGCACAGCCCTTTCCATATCAGCTAGTTTTTGAAGATTTAGTAAAACACAAAAAAGGACTGTGGCTCACGGAAGTGCTGGAAAACAGGGAAGAAACATCACCTTGTAAGCAAAATCATCCTTATTTCCTCTAAAGCTGAAAGATTTAGCCTCAGTTTATCAGGATGCAAGGGCCGTTTCTGTGGTCACTCAAATTATATTCTAAGCTTAGATTAGCAATGCATCTTGCCTCATCCCGTTTAGTTCCCTCCCTCAACCTTCCCATTCGTCACCTGGAATGCCTTAAACAATAGAGAAGGAAAGATCTATTTTAATATTGTCCCTTTGCTGTTTTTAAAATGATTTCCTAAGGTCTGAACAATTTCCTCTGAACACTTCGACAACGCAACTCACAATAAACTAACTTCCTACTATGCATTAACAACGGCACACATATCTTTCTCTTTTCTTTCTGCTGA